CTGGCTTGCTTTAACTGAGAAAGTATAATGCACAAATTCACCTCTTGATCACTATCATCATTATATAACCCCCCTTGGGCCCACAACCAAATTCAAACCATGTAAAAACCACAGAAATATGTTGTCTATATGCAGTCCACTACTCCGCCTAAATCCTTCCATTTTCACAATCTTTCCCGAGTATTCAACCAAGCCATATAAAGGCTTATGCATATAATTACTATCTTTATCTCTAACGTCTCAACCTAATGTCCCTATCCATGAGTAAAATATTACTATCAGATTTGCTTATATAGAAGTAATCAGCTTGATACACTATATGAATAAACACACTCTTATTAAAATTCAACCAATTTAATAATAATCTGGATCAAGCCACCAAGTTCTTAAAAGAACTCCAGCACAGAGAGAGGAACAAAGAATTATTAACACATTATATAAACGCAGCAGTTTGGCAGGTCTGGACGCAGAATGGGCCACATCAGGTCCGGATTCTGCAGACAGAGAAACACACATGAGCACATCGCTCTCAAACACTACAGGTTGTTCACCAGTCACGAGCTGTGAAACAACAGCACAGCTCTGTATTGGTAAATAAAAAGTAAAAGTTACGTTGTGTTCTCTGGCGGACCTGGATCAGCTGTTAGCTGTTTACAGGGTTAACGCTAACGTTGCTACGTGGCTGTGTTTTAATGTTTTAATTACCGGGTCTGTCTGTTTTTTGGAGAGGAGACGACCTCTGGGGTAATTCGGCTCCAGGTAGAAACCTGTCAGGGCTCTGAAGTGGACCCAGAACAACTCTCATCAGCTGTTAGCTGTAATGTTAAACACTAGCAGGACTAAAGTTACTGCGGCTGTGTTAAAACTATAACTTAGCACAACATCACTGCGCTGTAATAATGTTATGCTTTATAAAATGTCACATAATTAACAAAATAGCTATATAATATCAGTCCAGTGACTGTTACCTGACGGCTGACCTGCCTCTCATTCTCCGGCGCTGGCGGTCACTCAGCCTGCAGAGTGAACGAAAGACTGAGGAGGACCCATGTGAGCGGTGAACAAGTCCTTCATTCCTGATCCACAGTAGGAGCTGTCGTGAACTAATCAGTTCTGTTTCCTGTGCTGACGGAGCCCATGCAGCTGCCGTGTGACGAGTGAACGTAAGAGTCCAAGATCCTTCACGCATGCGTGAAAATGAATGAATTACTCACTGAGACAACCCGTTCCTCCCGAGTCATATACACGATTAGGTCAAATGAACTACTTCGGACTGCGACCGTAACCTAGCAGATGGTATAAGTTACTCACAAGTCCACAACATCATTGTTCCGCATCTTACCATAAACCACTACAAAAATTTCAACTCAATTTTACATAAAAATTGGCCAAACAATTTGAATGTTTGCTCAGTAGCTTTCACATCAGGTGTAACGTTAGAATTATCGCTGTAACTTTAGCTGTGTTAGCCAACATTTACAACAACTCCGCACTTGAACAGTCTGTGAAGTTACATTGCTGTGTTTATTTTAAATATAATTCACAACCAATAAAGCATACTTACAGGTTATGATTGTGAATTTCCAGGCCCAAACAGAGTCGGAGTTGCATCGTCTTTTAGGATTAAACGTTGAACTGTTGCCGGTGTTCTGACGATCTATGTTGCCTTGCCGAAAAATGCTACCATAGCGCAAATCGATAGACTCGACTCTACTCGGCCCTGCTCCGTTTTCCATTGCAGATAGTACCAGAGATAGTACGTAGCTTGTCGTCATAGCGACGCCACACACAACTGCCGCGATGTAACGTTCAATGCGACACACACACCAGCGATCCACACAGCTTTCTCTTTTTTAAGTTAAAATGTTTCAACATTACTCAGGATGTAAAGACAGATAAGCGGTATGAAAACCTTCCAGTCGTGTTTTCCTCTGCCGTTGTTGCTGCAGCGGTCTGTGTGACGGCGGGAGCAGAGGGCTCTGTGAGCGGGCGGCTGGCCGGACTCACACGCTCCTCCCGCAGGTTGGTACAGGCTTCCCCCGCAGACACTTGCGGAGCTCCTCAACTCCGAAAATATTCAAGCACATTTTTGTTCCGCCATCACTTCTCGTAAAACTGTCAATATTCGAAATCTACACGGCTGATTTCTCACCTCAAAACTTCTCAGAAGTGGATTCAGTGATGAAATTATGTACGAAAACTGTAAAATATAAAACTTTCTGTTGCTGGCCTCTGTCTGGTGCACGCGACGATGAAGTGAATAGTGAATATTCTCTCTGACCAATCAGCAGTCTGGCGTGTTTTCACGCTACATTTTAGTATCCCTCAGCTCGCTTGGAACCTCGATGAGGTGAGGGGATATGAAAAAAAGTACCTGGAAGCAGGTACAACATTTCTACAATGGAAAACCAAACAAAGCGGAGTTTTATATACAGTCTATGGTTTAGCCAAGTCGAGCTGGTACTGTGCAGTGGAAAAGGGGCTTAACTAAAATCAAAGGGCCTCCGCTCAGACTAGCTTGGTTTGAGGGCGTGCCTGACCCCGCTAGCCGCTTGGCAAGCTTTATGACGCGTTCTAATTGTGACGTCACAGTGAAGGAAGGGAAACAGCTGGACTACAAAGGAGCTGTTTTCAGGCAGTTCACAGCAGTGCTTTCTGGGAGATGGGAACTCCCTTTGGGCTGGACTTTGGGCTTTTTCACTTTGCAAACCTATTACATGCACAAAAAGAGATATAACTCAATAAAGGGGAGAGGGGAAAAGCCAAAAAGCATAATACCACCTCTTTAACATATACTGTTTAAATCATTTACAATCAAGTGGTCCACAGATCATGTTCATTTGGGGTCTTTCATCCATTACAAAACAAAATCATAATATTTTATGTATCAGTAACTCTATAACCAGTTCAGCATTGATAGCCTACAGTTTATTTTCAGGGCTGTTAGAATTTTAGAAATGCACTGAATTTCACACACTCTCTTACAAGCGTGGCCTAGTTATGTCATGGCTCATGGTGATGGCAATGTTAGTCAGTTAGTCCACAGTGAAATAACTCAACAACTATTGGATGGATTTCCATGAAATTTTATACAGATATTCATGGTTTCCAGAGGATGAACCCAGCTGACTTTGGTGATCCCCTCACTTTCCCCCCTAGCGACACCGTGAGGTTAACAATTTTGCCTCATTATTTTCTCTGCATAGCCACATAAAAACATCTCTGATGACACTTGAGGAGTGGATGCTGCCTGTTTTCTTCCTAACATGCTCAATTACCCTGTACTTATTAGTTAGTTAGTTCCTGACTTGTTCCTTAGGATTTCATTTGTAACTATTCAGGATTCACCTTGTTAAGTGTTGCTGCTTTTTCAGGCAGAGAAACACTTATTAAAGTGACTGTTCTCCATTGATGGTGCTTGCTGGCATTTACCCAAGTTGCTCCCTGTGTGCAGATGATGTATCATCCCCCCAGACTCACATCAGCACAAAAATCGTCATGGAAAATATGATCAGGCTTTCAAGAATACTTGCTGTAAATGGGTTTAACCCTAAGAAGTGATACAGAGCATGGGCAGAGCTTAAAAACAGAAGCTTAGAGATTTCCACTGTTAAAAAAGTAGTTCCTTTAAAAAACTCCATATTTGAAGCACTTCATTCTGGTGCACTGCCACCCAATCCTCAGACACTGATACATGCACACTCAACTGATAAATTGACTAACTGACCACAACAATAAACACAAACACACCCCTGTAAAATAAACTCACACACACACACACAAGTGCAGGCCAGAGTCCTCACTGTCAGCTCGACAGGCAGTTTTTATTCTGTCAGTGTAAATCTGCTCTGCAGCTTGCATTCATGTTTCAGCCTGTATGATCATACAGCAGTGGTGAGCCACTCTCAAACCATCTACAGGCACAAAGCCACTGTGACTGCACACACACACACAGACAGACAGACAGACAGACAGACAGACAGACACACACACACACACACACACACACACTCCATCCAAACTTGAGCTTTGAAGTCATTTCAGCTCCTCAGTAGAGGCTACAGGCGCTTCTCTGTCTGGCTCCATCTATCTGAGGCTGTGTTTTCTTATGTTGGACGCTATACATCAGTGTAGGGCTGCAACTAACAATTATTTTCATTATTGATGAATATGCCAGTTCTTTTTTAACCTGACTAATCACATTGTCTATAAAAGCTGAGAAAATATTGAAACATGTCACTTTCCTGGACTTTTTTTTATATAACCCAAATGATACTCAAATTACAACAATATAAAAACTAATTACTCTCACATTAGTGAAGCTGGAACCAGAGAACATTGATTTACATGATTAATAGATTATCAAAATAGCAAAAAAAAGAAAAGAAAAATAACCCTCCTGGTGGTGATCACCTCCTTAATTAATTAACTTAAAATGTTGCAACTCTAGTTCACTGTGTCTTTTCTGAGAGAAAGAGAGGGAACTTCTGTGTTTACTCAGCGACAGGACAGAAACTTCATCAGTGCTGTAAATACCTCCAGACAAAGATAAACCACTTTCCAAGATGTGAACGTTTCAGTTTCATTCAAAGAGTTGATGAAAAGGTCGCTCTTAGTAAAGCATCAAAAGAGTTAAGTTAAACTCACACTGCAGAGCAGTTGCAGGGCTTTCATTAGTGCTACAGACTGAGCTCTGTGCAGAGAAACGTCCCCCAGATGCACACTGCACTCCCCCCGCTTCCCACCCCCTCCACGTAAACACCAACGCGGTTCACCATAAACCAGCGGTGAGGATAAGAAGCCTCTACTGCACGCGCGAAAGTGACACAAAAAACTTCCCCCAACTCAACGCGTTTGACCTAAATCCAGCTTCAAACCAGTGATATCCCGTTCCTTTAACCAGTCTTAATTTAAAACTGTTCGATTATTTTATCCTTCTGGCCCCAGCAGGGTTAATCATATCCAAGAGGTGAATGAGGGCCTTTTTGTCCAGTCCTTACCTTCATAACCGGAGCAGAAGCAGAGCTGGACAAACAGGAGCACCAGCGGCCACATGTCCATATCGAGACGCGGGAAGGACGCTCTTTAACATGTGAAGGGGAGCTCGCAGGAAAACTTCCAGCGCATTCCTGCTTCCCAAAGGCCCGCCTCTTGCTCCAGAAACAAGGGAGGATTCTCCTAATACAGTCAGGCCCGGCCACCGGCACGAGGCGAGGCAGATAGAGGAGGCTGTGCCAACCCCTGTGGGTCAGCTCTGTGACATGGACTCCATCATCACCAGGAGAGGCTGGACTAAATCAACCCTGTTCACCTTATTAAACCTGCACATGTAGGCATTAACCTGTGAGTCTGTTAGGATTTGGCTACTTAAAATTAGTTCATTTCTACCTAAGGGCTCACACGCAGAGTAGGCTACTTTAGTTGAAGGTATGAAAAAGTTTGGGAACTACCAGTATATTGTAGGCTATAAGAATATACAGTATTCAATTAGTAATGTGTTAAAGTCACTTAATTTGTCTGTTAGCTGTACTTTTATTTTTATACTATACATCTATGTAGGCTACATTTCATAATACTTTTGTATTTCTACCTAAGTAAAACTATCATTTACATTTACACTTGAAATATAACTGAGTATTTTTACATTGAGGTGTTATATGTGTCTTGTGTTCAAGTGTGTATGTGTTGTATGCTTCACCTGGACTTAGACTTAGTTAGACTACTTCCCTAATGTCATAGCAGGGAAAGCACAGATTGAACAGCAACTATAATGCACTTACTGCAAAATATAATTTGTTACAAAAAGGTCTATTTTCAAGGGGGTCATGCTATTATTGGTTTAATTTTTTTACTAGTCTCACAAGGATGTGTTTTTGGTATAAAATCATTGTTTAATGCATTTTTTAGACATTGTGTATTGTACATCACTCAAGAAAAAATATATGGTTCATCCTGCAACTACTGTACGTACTGTATTGGGACTGGCCTATATAAGGATCTTCACTCCACTCTAATAACTGTATATCCCAGAAACTGCTCAATAACTCTTGCTCTACTGTTTCACACACAAACACCCACAACATCAATAATACAGTGGAAAGGCTTTTTAGTTTCAAACATGGGTAGAAATTGAATAGTTGGATCTGAAGTTGTTTCCAAGCAACACTATCCTGACTAAATGTTTTATAGTACCAATATTGTGATTTATGATTTAACTTTTTTGATCTTCTATTAGAGTTGCGTTTCTGTAGGAACATTTTTTAGCATAGTAGATCAATTCTGGCTTGATATTTGCATATAGCTGATTATTATTCTGTTCCAGACGCAAACACACACAGCGGAAAATCAGTGTGAAAGTAAAGAGCCGCCAAAGCACTAATCAGTGTTTAATTTTTTTCCTCCACAAGCATGAGGTTTGGTCGCAGGCCCTTTGTAGTGTGGGGGGGCGAGTCCACACATGAAGGTGGTGGTGTTCTCTATCGTGAACGGGAAACAGGAAAGGGAGGCGTGTGCTGATCTCCTGAACTGTAATTACATGTGGAATCAGCCGACCGTTACGCCTCCTGTCGGCTCCCTCAGGTCAGATGAAGAAAGAGTTACATGACTCCATCTTTGCTCACCTGACTCTGGAGGATTGGTCTGACATTTTGAAGTGGTTTTATAGCTAATGATTCTAAATTCTCAGGGTTTTGATTTGATTACCTGTTATTTACACACACTTACACTTGTCTGTGTTGTCCCTGAGAATATTCCTGAGAGTATTTAGGGTTTCAGCATTAAAAGCATTAACTCCCTCCTACTTAAACATACAGTACACTGCAGGGATTCTGTCACCAATAAGGTAGTGAACAGCCACACAGACATTAGTGGGGTTTGATTTTCATGCAGAATGAAATATTTGACTGCTGCAGTTCATTTTGAGCTCTCAAAGGCATATAATGATGAAACTACGTTTGCATAAACAAGGCACTCTCAGCAATACAAATATTGACCGTGAAGAACAACGTCTCCAGATGTAAAGAAAACATGTCAAATGACATACAGCAAATGTTCATTGATGTTTTGCAATCAAGCGTGAGCAGTATTTCCAACAGTCAAGCTTTAGTTGTAATCGTATTTACATTATTAATGGATAGTCTGGTGATAATCTGTTTTTCTTACTGTCATAAATCCCATGAAAAGACCAAAACCAACAATGAATTTGCCCCTCTACTATTAAGTTGCTGCTTTAGCAATCAGATGAGATATATTCCTCTGTAAGACCTCTAGTAATGTCTCTTAAAGAGGAAGTGAGCTGATTTTGTATATGTATTGTATATGTATAAAAAAGCTGTTTAAAGCGTTTTCTGGCTCCAGGGGGAGCTGTGCAAAATCAGTTTCTCAGCTGAGTTTGAATATTAAAAGTTTGAAAATTAATAAAATCTGTGGGTGTGGACTTTGAAAGAAGTGATTCACCAGACCTCTTTAGCCCACTCCTCTCTGCTTGAGGCAACATTAGCTTCTACTAGCATAACACACCAGAATCTCTGACCAAACTCTCAGTGGCCAAGCTGCATTGTGGGTAATGTAGGCACCAGGTTTTGACAAGGACCAAGATTGTAATAAGAGTGCAATGCTAAATCGAAGGAGTGCTCTTCTGAAAACACATACATGAGCCACTCTCTTGCTCTGGGTGACAGGATCTTCACATATGATGAATATAGTTAGTTTATATGAGCCAGTCCTACATACACTCTGCTGCTGTAAATACTCTGTAGCGCTCCAAATGTGTATTAATCCACGACTGAAAATAGTCCCTAACAAATTTACTATTTTCTCTAAAGCTTGAGGCAAGTTATAGGAGATTAGTGAGCCTTTAAATCATGCCTTCAGTAGGAATGAATGGGCTTGGGGATATTGAGAGACAGAGTAATGCATTGTTGGTTTTGGTCTTTTAATGGGCTTTGTTTAAATATACAACAAGAAAAATATACTTTTAGCCGACACGTTTTTAAACACTATTTGATTCACTGCAGGTCGAGGTATTGTGGCAGTACATCGTTCCAGAACTGCTGAGGGCCGTCCGTTTTCTTCTCCCCTGCAGCCCTCTGCTTTGTCCTCGGCGCCGGTTTGGGTGTCTGTCTCTTTTCTTTTCTGTCTGACGGAGCAACTTCATGAGGCAACTTCTGTGTGTCCACTTTTTTTGGATTTGTTGATTTTACCTTTTCCTCTTCTTCTTCCTGCTCCTCCTCTTCTTCTTCTCTCTCCTCTTCTCCTTCTTCATCAGCCTCTTCCTCATTCTCATCCTCTTCTCCCTCCTTCTCTTCTCCTTCTTCGCCAGCCTCTTCCTCACTCTCTGCACCTAGATCTTCTTCAGAATCATTAGCTTTCTTTCCTTCAGTTTGTTCCTGTTTTGTTTTTTCTCTCTGATTTTTGAGTCTTGGCTCTGTTTTTAGTTTAATCTTTGTTTCCTTCTCATCTTCCTCTTCTTCTTCCTCACCCTCTTCCTCCTCCTCCTCCTCATCGCTCTCTACCATCGCCTTTTTTTTAGCCTCCCTACTTTTCTCTTTTCTCTTTATTTCTTCCTTGTCCTCACCTTCACTCAGTTCCTCTTCCTCTTCTCCTTCCTCTTCTGTAGCACCTTCCTCACTGTCTTCTTCTTCTTCCTCCGCTGCAGTCTCTTTCTCAACTCCTCCCTCATCCTCTTCTTCCTCTTGATTTTTTTCTTCCTCCTCAGCTTCCCCCTCATCTAAAGATATATCTTCCTCACCTTCCTCTTCCTCCTCCACTGTAATCCCTTTCTTACTCTCTTCACCCTCCTCCTCACCCTCTTCTTCCTCCTCTGCAGTCCCTTCCTCAACTCCTCCCTCATCCACTTCCTCCTCGTCATGTTTTTCTTCATCCTCTGCAGTCTCATCCTCAGCTTCCCCCTCATCTAAAGATCCTTCTTCCTCACCCTCTTCTTCCTCTTCATCTGTAACCTCTTTCTTACTCTCTTCCTCCTCACCCTCTTCTTCCTCCTCCTCACCCTCTTCTTCCTCCTCCTCACCCTCATCCTCTGCTTCCCCTTCATCTAAAGATCCTTCTTCCTCACCCTCTTCTTCCTCCTCCTTACTCTCTTCCTCCTCCTCTGAAGTCTCGTCCTCAGCTTCAGCATCATCTAAATCTTCCTCATCTTCCTCACCCTCTTCTTCCTCCTCCTTACTCTCTTCCTCCTCCTCTGAAGTCTCGTCCTCAGCTTCAGCATCATCTAAATCTTCCTCATCTTCCTCACCCTCTTCTTCCTCCTCATTTTCTTTATCACTCTTTTCATCTTGCTCTTCCTCCTCTTCATCAACCTCGCTGCCTTCCTCTTCCTCCTCCTCATTTTCAACGCTTTCTCCATCCTGTTTCTCATCTTCCTCTCCTTCACTCCCACCTGTTTCTTCGTCTTCTTTCTCCTCATCCTCACTTTCAGTGGAATCTTGGTCGTCTTTTTGTTCCTCAGTTTCACCCTCTTCATCTGTGTCAACCTCATTTTCTTCTTCTTCGTTGTCTTCTTCAGAATCAGATGCTGCAGTCTCACTTCCCTCTCTGTCCTCTTCCTCCTCCTCTTTGCTGCTCCCCGATGCTTCATTACTTTCATTTTCTTCATCCTCACTTTCTTCCTCTTCTTCTTTGTTCTCTTCTTCACTAGAGTCTTCACTTTCACTTTCCTCCTCTGCTTCTTCACTTACCTCAGAATCGCTCCCTCCTTCACCTGCTTCCTCGCTGCTTTCTTCTTCTTCCTCTTCAGGCTCTGTAACATCACTCTTCTCACTTTCTTCCTCACTGCTAGAGTCTGTTTCCTCCTCACCATCTCCCTCTGCAGTCTCATTATCTTGCTCTTCCTCACCCTCTCCAGAAACACTCTCCTTTTCCTCTTCTATGTCATCGCTACTTTCACTTCCCTCCTCATGCTCTTCTTCTTCGTCTTCCACATCGCTCTCACTCTCTCCCTCTTCATCTTCCTCCTTTTCCTCGTCCTCAGCACCTGTTGTTCCTCCCTCATTATCCTCGTCTTCTTCTGAAGGCTTGTAGGTTTTCTCATCTTCTTGCTCGGACGTTTCTATATCCGTGCTACTGTTCTTCCCCTCTGTTTGTGAAATGTCTTCACCCCCAATCTGATCGGACATGTCACTGATCACCGCCCCCTCTTGTGACCCATCATGAGTGGTATCTTTACTTTCTTCTTCTTGAACTGTCTCTGACTCTGATCGGACACTAACCTGAACATCTTTTCTTTCTTCTGTTGCTTCTGTTGAAGAAAAATGTGACAATGTTGAGGTAAAGGAAGGTTGCATAATTGCACTCTGCTTTTTGAATTGCTTCCCTCGACTTGGTGTTTTAGGTGGTGTAGAGGCGACTGTGTCACTGTCAGACTGGAAAGCCCCAAGTTTTGTCACTGCCTCACTAAGGACCTCCATAGCTGCACCTGCTATCCCAACAGCAGGAACAAGAGTGGCCGCGGTACTGAGAATTTCCCCCCACCTAGGCTTTTCTCCTGCCAGGCCCGGAAAATCCTCTCTGCTTGTATCAGAAACAAGCAAATCCCTATGAATAGGTTCGGGGCCATGCATGGATTTGGAAACCACCTCTGTTCTTTTTGGGCTTTGTGAGGAAATGGGGTTACACGCCATTTCAATAGGTGTATCTTGTTTTGATAACAGCGGGCTAGAAGCTTCAGTCTGCTTACTCCTCTGCTTGGCACTCTCCTTATCTTTAGAGTTTAAATCATCTTTTCCTTCAACTCTGATTTCCCCTCTTTCATCTTTCCTTGGCTTTGTTTTCACTTTCAGTTTAGATTCTTTTGCGTTCTTTTTGTCCTTCACGTTAGAGCTGTCAACATCAGGTATCTTTGGCTTATCTGTAGCTCTACCCTTCACTCTTTGAGCTGTGTTCTTGGCAATGTTTAACTCATTTTCCACAAGTTTTCCTTTGCTTTTACTTTTAACTGGAGTATTTTCTTTGCTTTTACTTAGATTTTTGACTGTTGTGGATTTGTGGTGTGGTTTCCCTTTAACTTTCACAGGTGTAGATTTCTTAGTATCAAGCTGAGCGGGTGTGGTTTCTTTTTTCACTGGTAGTGATTTTACATCTAGTGCTTTACTTTGACCTTTGCCCCGTACAGATTTGACCTTGTGCAAATCTTTTGATGGAGTCTCCCCTTGGCTCTCCACTCCAACAGCTCTGACGTCAGTGGTTTCTGCATCTTCTTTTGCAACGTGTTCTACAGATGTTGAATTTTCACTTTGGACAGATATGCTGGTTAATTCATTTCCTTTAGAGATCTTAATAACAGGAGGAGTCTTGTCCAAAGCTGATGATAAATTCTTCTCCTTTTTTGGTTTCCTTATCAAGTCTGTCTTTAAAGTGCTGGCTTCAATATCCTCTTGGTTTATATTACTTTTCACATTTCTATGTCTCCTGGTATTTTCTTTTACTTCAGTCATTCTCTGCGATGCTTCGGTCAGTGTTTTCCGGACAGATTGTGAAGTTTTTGGGGTTGATTCTGATAGTTTGCTCTTTTCACGTTTTGGTGATTTAAAATGTGAGGGTTCTTTTTGAGCTTGTCTATCTTCACAAGTTTTGATCTCCTTGGACTGCTTGGTAATGTTCTCTTTGCCTTTAGATGTGACTTTGGGGTTTTGTTTTTGGGGACTCTTTGGGCTCTTTAGTTGAGACACTTCTTTCGTTAAGTAGCTGGAGCCTTTCAGGAGCTCTGTGGGTAAGGCTTTGTGAGAATTTTGTTCTGCCTTTCCATTGGCTTGGAGCTTTTTGGCAAACGCCTCTGCCTCTTTCGTAGTTCTTCTAAGAGCTCGGCCCTTCTTCTTTTCCTATAATAAATCACAGAGAAAATATGTATTTAGTCCGACATCAAACTAAAAATAAAACAGGTAGAAAAAGGTCATATGCAATAATACTGTGGCAACATTTTACCAGCACAGCAGCAGACCTGCAATCAGTGTGACGGCATATGTAGTTGCCTGTGTTTTACTGCCAAATGCATGTCATCTCTAGTTTGAGGAAGTGGTTTCTTGCTCAATAACACACTACGATAACACTCAAAATATAATCACATTATCAGAATTCACAGGGTTATGTTTCAGTAGTTTTTGTAGGCATAGATGTCATTCATTTAAAATATTTTGAATATAATTACAAATATATAAAATATTCCAGTATTCTGTATATGTTGGACGTCATTAAGTATGAGTATAATTTGAAACATAAATAGAAAAATATCTTACAGCATATGGAAAATGATGGGGGGTTTTCATAAACATATGGCATGGTGGGCACACATAACAAATCACTCATCAGGTTTAAATACAGATGTGGGTGGGAGGTAAAGAAAACCATGGTGACGAATGAGGAATCCTTATTTTTTCCATCTGCACTGGAGATAAACAGACGGTGGTTAATTGAGGGTCAACGAGGTGTGATGCGAAAACAGCCTTATTTAATTACTGTCACGGCAGTCTCTCTGGCACAGTAAGGCGTTCAAATACAACTTCAGTAACTCAACTATTAATTAAAAAAAATATATATTCTCACGCCAGCTTGATTTATTTCATATACTGTCGTTTGGATTCCTTATCCAGTGTATTAATCTCTGTCCCACATTAAAGCCCACGCACGTGCGATAACAGTGGTCGAAGGTAAAAAAGTACATTTACTCAAGTACTTCACTAAATACTTGTACTTTACAATATTGAGAAAATGTATACTTCATTACACCTGAAGTTATTACTTAGTTGCTTATTTTGGTTAAAGAAAGTGACTAAATGTGCTATGCTGTAAGAATATTCCTACCTAACCTGTTTTTAAATGTTTGTTTCAGGCATTTTTGTAAATTTTGTAAATATTTTTCATCTTTCTAGTGTAGCAAACTGATACAACTCATACTTTCTTGTATCAAGCTACAGAGGTTCCTTTCTAAGGTGTTTTTTTTATTCAAATTGAATGTGAAAATATCCATACTGAGACAAGAGTTTTTATCACTATGTTAAAGAAAATGAGGTTTATATATGTATAAAAAAATAAAACACGATCAAATGAATTACTGATAATACTCTAGTGGTTTTACTTTAAGTAGGATTTTGAATGCAGGACTTTTACTTGCAATGAATTGATATTATAGTGTATTATTGTATTTCTTCTCAAGTACTTCTTCCACCTTTGAACATGAATGCACGCATTTAAGACTGGAGCGGGTTACTGAGCACCACATATTGTACTATGACACACAACAACGTAGGAGACTCCTTCACAGCTTGCTTCATCACTGGCTGTGGAAACACTGATGAGATGTGGCAAGATTTCTGCCAACTTTTTCAAAGTGTTGCATGTGTGCATGTTTGTGTATCTGAGGTTGGAGCCCAAACAGATTTGTGTATTGGCAGATGCTGTCCTAATCTCTGAATATCATTACACACATTCTTAGAATAAAGCAAATATATAAAGTATGACGAGAGCAAAACACTAAATTCAAGTTATACCAAGTGGAAAATGTCTCCACACACACACGTGTGCAAGAACACAAACACACACACACTGCTGAGCTACGCACATTTCCTGGAAAAGTCAGTGAGTGTTCAACGTTTCTGCTTCCTGTCCTGTAGTGCACATAATCTAGACCACAACCAAGATGCCTAAAGAGGAAAATAACAATCAACTGACTCCATGTTTAAGACACATGGAGCCATTAAAAAAGTCACTTCTCTCACCATATTTGGCAAAAAGTCAGAGTCGACTCCTTCTTCATCTCCATCTTCTATGACAATTTGTCCCTGAGCAGTTTCTCCCTCTGAAAAAACAGACAATGATGAGGTTAAACAGAGTATCTATAGCAAGAGAAAACTCTGGATGAAGCAGACTTTCCAGTTGTTAAAATTATGGGTTGAAAATACCTGTTTGTGATGAGGCAGGGTGCTTCTCCTCGCTGAGATGTTTAATGGAAATATCACTGGAGGGTCTTGTTGGGCTACAGGGTTCTTTAGGTGGTAGAGGAGATGGCAGTTTTTCAATTAAGGCCTTTTTAGCGGTTGCCAATCTGTGCAGTCTTTTTTTTTCAGTCTTTTTAGGAAACACTGGGATGTGAGGGCTACGTTTAGTTACAGACTTTGGTGACAGTAAGGGAGAAGGCAACTCTTTGGATTTAGACTTAGAGGAAGCAGCGGAAGAGGATTTATTCTGAAACACGTTTGATGACTGAAAATGTGGGCTTGATGGCTTAGAGGATGACACTGGACTCTTGTACAGAGATCTGGGGGAGAGTGGTGGGCTTGGTGTAATTTCTGATTGTGGTTTGGGGGATGATGAAGGGGTTGTAATGTCCTTTGAAAGTGTTTTAGGGGTTGGGATATTTCTGGATGTTTGCCAGGATGTGTCGAGGAAGCCAGAATTTAGACGTGGGAGGTTCTGAAACATCTCCCCAAACAGTTCCACAGAGCTTTGCTGAAAGACATGAGAGGACAAACATCAAAACCACTACTGAGTAAAAAGGTTGCACCACCGTCTATGGAGCACCTCCAAGCAGTTAGCTAGTGGCACTGCAGCAGAGCTACAGTTTGGTGAAACGCTGCTCCCTACTGGAGTTAAAGAGTGATTACAATTATCTATAGTAGTTTCATCAGGACCCACCAAGTTAAATTAAAGACTTCTAAAGACATTTAAATACAGCATAGAATGCAATTTAATACTGGTTTCACAAGTTATACTAGTCAAATTATGATTTCAGTACTTCCCAGCAGTACATAACAATTATTCCCAATGAGACAATCAATTAAATGATGTTTGTTGGACCCAGATAAGCAGCATTAAATGAACAGATGGATTACCCAGTAAAAAATAATTAATCTACATTTTAGAGCTGAAACAATTAGTGTGTTAATCAATCAGGTGATTAAAAGAAAAGTGATTGGCAACTATTTTGATAATCAGATCAGATAAACAGATAATCATTAAAGTAATATTTCAAGCAAACTTCATATCCATGGTTCCAAGTTCTCAAATGTGAGAATACACTGCTTTTCATGGTCTTACACACACACATATATATATATATATATATATATATTGGGTTTTGGACTGTTGGTTGAACAAACCAAGACATTTTAAGATGAATAATGTCTAGAATAATGTGTCAGGCATTTCTCACTATTTTCAGGTTATTGTTGTTTTTTTTTCTAAACATTTACATTTACTCATTTGGCTTTTATCTAAAGCAACTTACAAGCATCAATACAGTAAGAGATCTACAAGTGACAATAGATACTAGAAAGAGCAGCAATAAATACTAGTAAGAGCTATTAGCGTGTACGGCATATACATATATATATACACCATAATGGGGCAAATACCTATAGGGAAGAAGTAAGAGTTAATGAATAGTGCAATCAATACAAGAGAATTGTAAGGAGATATAGGAAGGAGAGCACAGGAAGTGCATGTTAGAGGTTAGGGATTCAAGGTGTTATAAGAGAAAGTGTTCCTGGAAGATTAATCGATTAATAATCAGCAGATTAATAAATAATGGAATTAAGCAATAGTTGTAGCCCTGGTGCATTAAAGTCTTTCCCACTATGAGACGATAAGCAGCACAATCCACTGTCCAAACAATTCCTAGTTTATATGTGTGTAACATGTACCAAGCACGCAATAGTATATTTTATATACCATTTTCAACATTCAACAACATTTTAAATAAATTTTGTATAATGTAAGAATTTTCTAAGTTCTTTTGAGGAAGCTGAATTCATTATTTTTATTAAAGGCCTGCAAAAACCCTTTTATATGTACACAGCAGATAATAGTTGAAAGAAGGGACTATTTGGTTTTGTAAGTCTTGTAAGATTGTTTAATCTGGAAAATAAGGACCAAGGTATAGCTTCTCACTTTTTCTCTGTGGCGGGCTCGAGCCAAGAGGGCCGAGAGCGGGACTAGTGGGTTAGGATCGATCAAAGTGTCCAGCAGGAGGATTTCTGTGTAACCTGACTCCAAAACGTTCTCTGTGATTGTGACTTCCTTCTTTGGCACCACTTCTTGGCTCCCTGGTGGTCTGGGTGCAGCCAGTACCAGCATGTGGTTACCACCGCAGGACACCTAAACATAAGAAAACCCGTGGAATCAATGTAGTTTATTGCTGTGTGATGTTTATTTCCTCTCAATCTGCTCACCTACGTTATACTCATTTACTTTCAGACACACAGGATAAATCACTTGGGAAGTGCACTGCACTTATACAGCGTTATACAGCGTACAGAGTTTAAACATTTGACAGAGGTTATAGAGGTGAAGCTGGGGATGACAACAACCACTTTCATCACAGGCACTTACTAACTGAACATTGTACTTGAGAAAACGTGTGCAGAGTGTTGGGCTGAACAGGTTGATGAAGTTCTCCTCCCCTAACCCCAGTTTTCCATGACGACCATCCCCAAACGTGTAGAGAAGCCCGCTGTCTGTGAAGGAGGAAAACAAATGCTTTAGCTAAAATTTTAAACTTGTATTTAATCACTGCTGCACTACACAAATAATGACTCGAGTGAGCTTAATGCTTACTTGTGATCACAGCGGTGTGGTTCCTTCCACAGGCGACATGATTGATGCTAGTGTTACTAAAGTGCTCCAGAGGTTTTGGCAAATCAGATTCAAATAGAAACGTCCCGTGGCCGAGCTGACCGTACTGACCGTGGCCAAACGTGTACACACTTTCCTCTGGCACAGCAAAACAAACACAGTGAAATAGACTACTTTGATTATCAGCAGTGTGGAAAGTAGCTAAGTGCATTTACTCAAGTACTTAAGTGCAATTTCGATGTATAGAAATACGTTGGAGAATTATTGTCCTTTTTACTCCAGTGACAAATAAGGTTTTAAACTGATCAAAAATTGAAATAGGTTAAAACAGCACATCAAAGTAGTTGTTATCTTTATGAGGATGTTTTTTTACTATAATGAAATTTTCAAAGAATGTATTTTAAGTGGTTTAACTGAGAATCATGTGACGACACCAGTCAAAATGTCATATGGGATAACCTTAATGAATTTTCTAAATATTATGATATTATAACTTTTTAAATCAATAATACGTATAGAATATATAAAGTGAGGCAGTAACCAATATTTAGAGCTCAGAAAAAAAAACTTGCACAACTTTTTTTTCTCATTATACTGTGATTTCTTTAAACGTGACCCTACTTGTTCAAGTTCTTTACCCATATTTTAACACTGCAGTGTGATTTAAAATGTCTGAAAATGTTTTACTATTTTTTGGAAAAAACAGCGTTATCCTGCCTGACTGAAATTGTTACTCGGTATGACACCATATGAGTTAACACGCGAATTGTCATTTTTACCCAATTTACACATTAATAATGTTCATAATAATAAACGTTTTTGTCATGCAAAGGTAGTCACACTCAAAATAGTTTAAGTAAATTAATTAGGCTACACTGCAAAGATATACAGATCCCCTCTCAGTGTGGTTTCTTTCCCGGATTTGGTAAGTATACAAATAGATTTAAACAATAATATCATGTTTATGAATTCAAAATAGCACAACTTCTCAACATCAAGTTTTATTTAGTACTAAGATCATAGTCACTCTACATCAATATTCATAACAAAACGTAAAAGGGTTAAAAAGTAGGGGAACTTCATTCATTTCGATGCACATAAATAATCAAAAATACAAAATCATGTTATTGAACAACATTTTTAATATAGAAAAATCTTCTTATTGGGTTAAAGTACGTTGAATCACATAATTAAATATCAATCAATGAACAACACATTTTTTTTTTACAGACAATAATATGTTAATATCACAATTTGAATGTTAATTATACTAATGAAAGCTGAAAACTATATAAAAAGAATATATTGGCAAACACGTGTCATGCAAGATAACTGATGACATTATGGGCTAACAGAAAATAAGTGTTATCCTATATGACAAAACTGTTATCCGGTATGAAAAAACTCAGTTTGAATCTTAATCAGGCAGTAGTTTTGGCTAACTATAGAAATCTGCAACCTTGATCTTCAACTTACAAGTATGCAAATTCTTGCTAAATAAACATATTTGCATAAACTCAACATTATATATGTTTTTTAGCGTTATCCCACATGACACAGGATTTTACTATATAGTGTGCAAGTGAGTAAAAAGGTAAGTTAAACACATTTTATTAAAGACATACTTACCTTTCACCAGTATTTAGGGGTGCTTCACGGTCTTGCTGATTGTGTGACATGCTGTCTGATATCGTGTCAAATTAAAATTACCCCCAAAATTGCTCCAGTTTGCTTGTTATCCCGTATGACATTGGCTGAATGCCAGTTTGGGACAGAACGCTCCAAAGCATAACAATCAACTGGATGTCATATTCTTTGTAATATATAAATATATTGTTTTCAACACTCAAACAATAATGCCTGTGGCAGAGATGTTAGGGTTTATTAGATTTTTTACAGTTTGTTTAGCTTTTTTGCATTTCAGCCTGAGGTCCGGACAGTTATCCGGTATGACATTTTGTGACTATAATGTCCCTCAATATATGTTCATATCACTTCATAAACAGAGATTAATAGATTCAAAAAAGGTGCATTTTATAAAACATTTCCTTATTTTTGACTTCATAAAGGGGTTTGGACATCAAAATTGCACGTCATGTCATTGGGCCGATGTAGTTTAAAATTGTGCATATTGCAAACACTGCAAAAAATATTCATTAGACCACGTAATTTGCATTTGTTATCGTGCCCTCAAATTCTTACTTTGATAAAACAAGTTAAAAAATCATTGCGTTTCATTGCGCCACTGCGTTGACAAGATTGCAACTTATATATAATAGAAGCAGCGATCATTTACTCTGTCTTCTTTCAAGTTTCTCACACTCTTTCTAAAAGTTTCTTTAAACAAATTAATTTTTGTCTGAAACAATAATCTAATTAGACTGGTATATTTTTTCACTTAATTGAAGAAAAACACATATAAGATCTTCATTATCATATAAAATTGTTCAAATCAGCTCCACTTTGATCAGCTAACATTAAAATGCTTACATGTCTATGCATTGGCGGTATTGATACTTTTACTAAAGTAAAAGATCTTTCACCTTATTTCACCTCTGATAAACCTGCTAGAAGGTGAAATATTTCTATTTTTAATGTATGTAAAATAGAAATAGTCAGGTATATAAAACAAAAAATGTATTAGTAGAAATGTCATGCTGTCTCTTTTTGGAACAATGGTTTTTATACTATTGACCTACCTGTGAGTGCCACAGTGTGTTCCCCTCCACAGGACACCTGGGTGACATGACCCAGCATCCCTTGCACCCGCTGAGGGACTCTGTGATTGGCCAGCTGCTCCACCTGGAGACCAAGCCTTCCGTTCGCACTCTCACCAAACGTGTAGAGATCTCCACCCACTAAAACACAAGCCAACACAACATTGTCGGCACAATGAATAACATCTTAATGTTGGTTAAATTAAAACTCAAACTGATTGATTGTCTGCTGTGTTTGGTTTGGGCTGTGCTGTACCTGTGACAAAAGCTGAGTGATGGTTCCCACAGGAGACCCACATCACCGCTTCCCCAACATTCACCTCTCTGGGTTCTGCTGCAAATCCCTCATCTCCTAAACCAATCTGACCCACAGAGTTGTCTCCCCACATGAACAGCCTCCCGTCCTCTACCAACACACACACACACACAGAGTGCAGAAACATAATTATGAGTACGTACACATCCACACATAAACAGTTTGGACCTCAGAGCACCTTGGCTATCGGAGACACTTGTCAGATTATTATTTGTCACTGTTTGAACCTGTTAAGGCAGCTGAGGTGTTGCATCCTGCAGAGAGCATTTTGATTGGTGTATCGTCACAGAAGGGCCTCAGCAGGTGAAAGGATGTAGTGTTGTTGCAGTGGCCCAAACCGAGCTGCCCCTCTTGGTTACTACCAGTACCATACACACTACCTCGCCCTAAAAATATACAAAAACCAGAATTAAATATAGAACACTGCTGTTGAAACATCTGTCACATAAAATACAGATATTATTTGTTCATCATCTTACATGTGCAGACAATTGTGTGATCTCTCCCACAAGCTACAAGCTTCACCTTCTCAGACTTTAAGGCTGAAAGGAAAATACACAGCAATTATAGCTACTAAATAAATGACAAAATGCAAAAAATAATCTTCTATGACAAATTTAAATTAGAGCTGAGACAATATCTTGATTAATTCATTAGTTTATTGACAGAAAATTCTATTTTCCTCTGGTTTCAGCTTCTGAGTTGTGCTCTTCTTTATCTTATGTGATTGTAAGCTGGATATCTTAGGGTTTTAACCTGCTAGTGAGACAAACCCTTTGGTGGAAGAAGTAGTCAGAGTTTTTTACTTAAAAAAAGTAAAAGTAGCAAAACCAGTGACGAAATACTCTATTACAAGTCAAAGTCATGTATTAAAAATTTTACATAGGTAAAAGTACAAAAGATAGACTTAAAGTATCAAAAGTAAAATTTCTCAATATGGAATGCTCAATTTATATAATCATATATATTATATTACTGGATTATAATTATTGATGCATTAATGTGTACATAAATTTAATGTTGCAGCTGGTAAAGGTGTAGTAACTAAAGTTATTAAATAAAAGTAGCGGAGTGAAAAGTACAATATTTGCCTCTGAAATGTAGTAGAGTAGAAGTATAGGACAGCAGACAACGGAAATGCTCAACTCCAAATTCAAGTCCTAACTTGCAGTACCTGTGTAAATGTATTTGGTTACTTTCCACCCCTGGACAAAACAAGTGATTTGAACATGTCCTTTTCACTGTTTCTGACATTTTATAGGATTAATAATTAGCATATTAATCTATAATGAAAACAATCATTAGCTACAGCCTTTGTAAAGTAACTTACCTTTCACAGAGGCAGGTTTGCTGGCAGCAGGCTTAAATCCAAGCCCCAGTTGTCCACAAGTATTACCACCAAACATGAGCAGCCTGCCATTTTCTGCAGACATAAGAATCATTACAGAGATGGAAGCATGATAGATACATGCTTCTCTTTGAACACAGTGATTTATTATCAATAGACATAGTTTGCCTGCACCTGTGATGACAGCAGTGTGCTCTCCGCCACAAGATAGGTGCACTGGCTGGTCATTCTTCAGCCAGAATTTACTAGGCACATTGTCAGCAAAACTGCTCTTTCCAAATGTGAAGATGGCTCCTGCTTCTGATGAGATATGTGAGATTCATCTTTAAACAGCCTTGATATTTACATCACGCAGGATTTAAGGCAACACTAAGTTACTCGTCTCTAACTTAGCACCGGCTAAATCCTGACCTGCTGTCACCTCTCAGGGGATTTAAGAAGCAGCCAGACAGAAATAGCAGCAGGTTAACCACACTCACATACAGTAACATTTGTATACCATTCATAAAGGTAAAGGGCTATATGCTGTCTAATGTCATGTTTACAAAGTACTCTCACCGGGTATGTCCACATTGCTCTGCCCCGTCATCTCCACTGCTGCCCTCCTCACCTGCTCATCCTCACAGAGTCTCTCTGTGCTGCTGACTGACAGGTGGAGTGCAAGAAAACGTTAGGGGGGGGGGGGGCAAGATGGCTAGCTGTCCATGCGCTAACCATGGATGTAAAGTTATGGTTTATGTGATTAATATTGATATGGGTCTGTTTGCTTTTAAATATATTTGGTGAGCAGAGCACCATGTTGATGACTTAATTAGTATGGAATGAAAAAAACACGCTTAAAGAAAAACTAAGTATAAAATAGCAAGTTAGGCTATTTAGCATAGCCTACCTGAGGGTTTGAAAAAGGTGGGCAGTGGACCAAACCACTGTCAGGCATATGAGGGGGTGGACATAATCTTTCAAAACCTAAATAAACGCACGGGACTCGTAGTAGACAACAAGGACTGTTAACCTGTTTTGTAGCCTACCAAATACATTGACTACACGCTGACGGACAATAGTGGTTACATTTAATTGATTTGATTAAAACTATTGGTCGCTGGACATGCCCCTACCAAATTCTATGGTTTTAAGTTCATCTTCTTGAGTGGTAACCGTTTAAAATGGCTTAGTCTGTGACCGTTAAACAAATTATAAATCCAAATTTTTTAAAATATTTTTATCTTTTATCCAATTTAGTTGTTAACCATAAACCAGTAGCATTGAGGAAGCCAAGCCACGCCTCACTTCCTGGTCCTGCGGTGGCGTCAGTGGCAGCCACGCAGCCGGTTGGTTGGCTCGAAGCTGTGGCTGCATGCCATCCGGGGCAGGAAGTGAATGAAAGTTGCTTGCACGCTGATGAAATTGTCTCACAACATTACGCAATCATTTTGAGCTGGAATGTCTAAACTATTATCTGTCAACAAAACAGTTTTCAAATGTTTGAAAACGTTTCAAGACTGCTCGGCACGAGGGTTTAGGTAAGACACTCCGGAGAACTGTATCTCGAACTTGTTATGCTTTGCAATGAGCTGAGCCTAGCAATATTGATAGCCAAGTTTTGTCAGCAAATATTGTTAGGAGAAATAATGCATGCACTATGCCTTCGTTTGTTGCTTTTCCAGCACTGGAGCTACTTCCCTTGGTTCTGTTAATTTAAAGGGTCGTAGCTGTCTCACCCTGAAAGACTTCAGCTCAGATGAAATCAAGAGAATGTTGTGGGTGTCTGGGGATCTAAAACATCGGATCAAGCATGGAAAACAGGTACCCAACGTTAGCTAACGTTATCCATTTTTTATTTTTCCTCAGTTTTAACGTGTAGCCTCAGAGTGGGTCAATCTAACTGTCATTTCTATTTCAGTATCTTCCTCTTCTGCAAGGAAAGTCGATTGCTATGATATTTGAGAAGAGGAGCACCAGAACAAGAATGTCCACAGAAACTGGTGTGTGTTTTGTATGAGCATCTGCACTGGTGTATGCCATGTGCTTCACTTAAACACCCCCATGAATGATCAGAATACTGGAGGTGGAGCACATTTTTATAAAGGCACTGGGTAGTTTTCAATTGCCATTTACACTTAAAATTACATTTATGAAAACAATCAGACAGAAATGTGACATGTGTCATACTGTTAGCTTGGCTGATACTGTTCACGAGCTTGTTCAGCCGCGTAAAAGTCATTGTTAATATGGACACAAAAGAACTGCTGAAAGGTGACTTTCAGTGCATTGCAGGAACAAAACACTTTGCCTCTGAACTATTCCCACTCCTCTCTTTCACATACTGTCCCCTGTCAACATTTACATGAAGTTGTGTCCTTATTTGCTTAACTACTCATGTAAGTTGGGCTTTAGGGAAATTGAAGTTGCTTTAATATCATAATTGCAGGTTTTGCTTTGCTGGGTGGGCACCCCTGTTTCCTCACCTCTCAGGACATCCACCTGGGAGTGAATGAGAGTTGCACGGACACAGCTAGGTGAGTATAGAATATTTCACTTTCACTAATGGAAAAAAATTAATGTAATGCCAGTCAGTTGTTGGATGTATATGTGCAATACTTTTTAAAAATGTGTTCATCCAGGGAAGTGTTAATTAGCATGGTATTTTTCAGTGTAGCTCTGCTTGACATGTTGTAATAGTGTTGAGTTTTTTAAGGTAGTAACAGTCATCTCGTATTTTCCACTGCTGCTGCTATGTGCTTTGTACTATGTACTGAAGGGTGTTCATGGCCCAGTATATGAACCACGGCCGCCATTGATCTCTAAACTCCTACCTACAGGGTTCTCTCAGGACTCTGTGATATTGTCTTGGCACGAGTTTACAGCCACTCCACACTGGAGGAGCTGGATAAGGAAGCCTCCATCCCCATCATTAATGGCCTGTCTGACCTCTACCACCCAATCCAGATTCTGGCTGACTTCCTCACCTTACAGGTGCTGAAAACCCTTGAAATGTAGATTCAGTCAATGATAAGGACGTGGTGTTTTCTAAAGTACTGCCATTCTTTTCCAGGAGCATTATGGGTCCCTTAGTGGACTAACAGTGAGCTGGATTGGAGATGGGAACAACGTCCTCCACTCCTTCATGATGACTGCGGCCAAATTGGGAGTTCATCTTAAGATTGCTACACCAAAGGTTCACCTTGTTTTTATGTATTCATGTACATTTCACCTCATTTTTAGCATATAATCTCCCCAGTTGCTTGTTGAGAGAATGAAAATAAAACCCTGTGGTTCTGTTTTGCAATGGACATCAATAATCCTACTCAGAAACTAAGCTACAACTATATCTTCATTCTCAGGGGTATGAGCCAGAAAGGAGTGTTATTCAAGAGGCACAAAGACTCTCCAAAGAGGTGATGTCTCTTTCAGGTGGCATTAATATAAACAGACCTCTCGTCAAAGGACTTATTCATTCATAACATTTTGATTTTGTCTCAGCACGGCACCCAGCTTGTTCTGACCTCTGACCCGATGGAGGCTGCTCACGGCAGTAATGTTTTGGTCACTGACACTTGGGTCAGCATGGGACAGGAGGAGGAGAAGAAAAAGCGGCTCAAAGCCTTTGAAGGTTACCAGATTACAATGCAGGTAAAGAATGATATTGTCTTTAGTATTATTTAGATGCTTTTTAGACACCCTTTTTGGCTCAGAAATCAATAAGGGTCACCCACAACATACCGGGAGCTCCTGGAGAAGTTAGCTGTTGTTTTTGGTTAGTATCCGTTCCCAAATTGGTCTCTTAACAGCTGTACACACGTCCTGACAGTAAGAAAATCAGAGCAAAACAATTTCTCTGTCCTGACTGTGTATGTTTGCACATGGTCTCTTCTCTCCTTGTATGATGACAGCCGTTGTTTCACTACACTGACTTGAAATGGGTCTTAACTATTTTTTTGTATTGCTCCACTACAGACAGGAAGTGTTGCCAAACCAGACTGGACCTTCCTGCACTGTCTCCCCCGAAAAATGGAGGAGGTTGATGACCAGGTATTTTATTCGTCCCGCTCCCTCGTCTTCCCTGAGGCAGAGAATAGAAAGTGGACAATCATGGTGAGTAACCTGATAAAATACTGTTGTTATGGAAATAAAGTGAGCCAGGTTTAGGTGTGGTGAAGAAGGTTTAGAGACCAATGAAGACTTACACAGCTTTGTTTATTAAGCCCTGCCAGGGAGATACAGTGCCAGCATACAACACATGCAATGCCACCACAAATCTGAAGGATACTTCCTGTCTGGGGATATTTATCTTCTCTAAACCTACAGAGATTCACTCCAGATAAGGCTATTGATCACCCCTCTATACATGTGTGAAGATTCTATTGAATATTGGTTCAAAACGAGACACTAGGCTTACCTAAGTTAACCGAAGTCAGTGTGTCATTCAAGACACATGCAACACTTTCTACAGAGTCAGTCTGTAACAAAACAAAAGATTTTCTCGTCCTTGGGTTACCCAGGAAATTGATCACAGAGTTTATCCTTATCAAGACAGCCGCGTTCAGTCCACCAAGCAGGCAGAGAGGAGAGACAGAGTCTGACCTACTGTTTTGTAGGGCTCAGCGATACTGACAAAAATGTTATCACGATAAAAAATGTCATATCATTCAATATTGACAGTGGATCACTTTTCAACTTCCTTTTTTTTTTTTTCAACAAATATGCATGAGTAAAATTAAGCAAAATCTTTTTTTCAGTAACTTTTCCTTTAAAAAATAAATATCTTAATAGAAAAATTAAGTGCTCATTTGTTTGTGATTCAAATGAATTAAATCCAACATTTATTGAACATTTGTTATATTGTTATTGAGGAAAATTTTATCACGATAATTATCATTATTGTTTTATCGTCCAGCCCAGCTGTCTTGTCTGTCACAGGCTGTCTGGCATACTTTAGCTCAGCAACTGACCGTATCATGAACCCTGTGTCACAGTTCCAGTCTTTGCCTCCAGTTTGATTGTCTGTATGCTAACAACAACTGTCTTTTCTTTCAGGGTCTGATGGTTTCTCTTCTGACTGACTACACTCCACAGATCCCCATGCTCAAATTTTAACTCCAGGTCTTAAGGTGGACTTGTGTGTCATGCTGTAATGACAGCTGATACATAGTTCAATGTCACATTTCACCCACTGATAGCACCATCACAACACTAGTTACCTCAAAGTAATTGTGTTGGCTTTGTTTAATTCACTTTCTGATTTAGGGCATAGATGGCATTGTTTGCTTTGTCTCACTGTTCAATCGGAGATTATTGCTGTGCAGTCATTAATAACCAAAGCTATCTGTTAACGTTCTACATGTACTGTGAGAGGATTGTATGAAGTTTAGTGGAAATGTCGAACGTGTTACTGAAAAGTAAAAGATTACTGAGCATTTCTTCAACTTTGTGTAATGATGAACACAACCAGCCCAAGCTGACCAATCACATACCTTGCAGTCTCCACATGGTATTTACTTAGCCCAACATGTAGTTACATTTTGGAGGAAGTTCACATTGTTCGCTATGCCTAAGCCCTTCCAGTTCATCCTCACATAGAACACATTTGAACTATATAACTTTAAAGCTGGGGATGGCAATTTATATATTATAAAACATTTTTATTATATTTGTTGAAATTCTCTTTACATCCCGGCAGCAATCAATAAATCAAATAATCTGATATAAAAATTAAAAACACTCGGCCAATGTATTCTTAAAAAAGACATTGTATGGTATATCACTTGGCTGTGCAGATTGGTTTTGCTGTATTACCATATAGTGTTAAAAAATCTGTTAGACAAGTAAAATGTACACAGTGTATATCAAATGAGTTAAAAAACTGACAAAATCACAAAAGAATAAAAACAATACACTTACAGGCACTTACATGATGTATTTATTTTATGATCCTGTTATCTGTACCTATTTCTACTTAAGTAATATAAAATACAGTAACTATACTAATTGAATAGGGCATTGTCGTACTCTTTCCAAACATGTTTAGTAAAAATGTCACACAAAAGGATGGCACCACTAGTTCATCAAGCCATGGTGACCTTTAAAATAACATTAACCAAAGTAAACTCCACAAACAAAAACAAGAAAAAAAGCGCACTAATATTGCACCCCTGCATCCCCCCAACCAGAAAATCAAGCCCACCACCCTTCAGACCTTGTGGAGGAGCATTTCATCTACAGCAAGGACTTTATAGCAAAAATATATAATACAATTATAATAATTATACTACTTCACATGTTGAGATTTAAAGAGAAAGTAAAAAAAAAAAGGACATAGTCTGCATATGTTGCCATACATTTTCTCCACTGGACATATTAAATATATATAAACTATAACTCACTAAAAGGTCACATATTAAAATGTTAACTTCCATGTGCATATTATTTAGCTTGCTCCCTGGAGAGGTCATGATTCATGGCTGTAACGTTAGGCAGACTGCGCCTTCACATGGACGCAGCCGGTAACGTCCCTGTTTTCTGATTGGATTGTGGAAGATGACGTGTTAATGCGGGAAGCTTTGATGTACGTGGGTGGTCCAGCCGGATAAAACTGTTGCTCCATAGTTCTTCATTCATAAACATCGGCAGCCCGTTATTAAAGAAAATACACGTGCACTCATTGACAGAGTTTGTGTAAACATAAACACAAACGTCTACACGACCTATATGTTGCCCCCAAACCAGAAAAGGCTGATTTTAAGGTCCACAGCACTTGCAGCGTTATGGTGATTTAAAAAAGCACATAATTTATATGCATTAGCGCAATAAGCCACACACACTAACCACTGAGAAATCACGTCAGCTGCTGCTACAATGGCGATATGAAAACAAGGCAATTCTCTGTGGCGACCACCCACACGCACTGAGGGAGTCAGCTAGGAGAGAGGGAGTTGAAACTGGGGTGGGAGGAGGACGCCATTGCAGCTGGCCGTTTGTGATTCGGCTGAGGAGGGACAAACGTTAAACTTAACAATGTCGAGGGGGCTTTCAGGGATTTTTTCAGGCTCAGCCCCCAGTGACTGGATTATAGTGTGAAAACGGACAAGTAGGATGGACTGTTTTTGTTTGTGGAGGAGAAAATGTGGAGCGACACCGCGGAACCGAAGCAGGTAAAGATGGATAACTTTAGCTGTGTTTCGGGGGGACAATGAGAGAAAGTTTGAGCTAACCTCGGCTAACTAACGGTAACGTCTTTGAGCTAACAGCGCTACTGCTAGCCAGCCCTATGTAGTGGCAGTCACTGCGCTGCACCCTGTTCACACTTACAAAGTTTAACTACACATGTCACTATTGCACTGTACAGATTCGAAACATGTCACTAGACTTTGGGTTAAACTTCAGTTTTATTGCCACTCTAACTCTTTAAAATGTGAATTTTAACCGAGTGGTTAACGCCATGGTGAGAGATGGCAACAAATATACCTTTCTGCTGTAAAATAATGTTAGCGTTAACAAAGCTATCGTTGAATGTAAGACACGGTTCCACTAAGTTACTTTGCTTGGCTAAAACTTTACGACTTGTTAGTGAGAATTTTGAGTTCGGACTAAGGCTAAAACAGGCAAATAATGGCTCAGTTGCGTTACATCAATGCGAACATTGGTAATCATTTAAGCCGATGGATAGTAATCCGATCCTTTACTTAAAAGTAACGTTAGCAACACAACAAAGTATAAGTACTTGAAGTCCTGCATTGAAAGTCTTAATAAGTAAGTTAACGTTATAGAGCTTACATGTTGCTGTCACTGTTATATTATTATCCATTACAGTATTAAATTATTATTACTGATGCATAAACGTGTAAGAAGTATTTTAATGCTGTACGTTAGCTGGTTGAGCTGGAGCAAAAATTGACAACTTTAATTATGCGTTAGTTCGGTAAGTTAGTTTAATAACTGCAAATATATCGTATTTTAGAAACCTGCGATATGTTTTGTATGGTTTAGTGATAAACTGCAAAGTAACTTAAGCTGTCAGATAGGGGAGTGGAGTATGAAGTAGCAGAAAATGAAAAAGTACCTCAAAGCTGAGTTAAGTACAATACTTGATGAAATGTACTTTCTGCTTAAAAGTCATGAGAGAGGACAGAAGCTAAATGTAACTTAGACAGAAGAAAGAGCTTATCAATTTTCTTTCTAAATGTTTTAGCACATTTACTTAAGATCGCATTGCATCACAACCACAACTGACCATTTTGGCAACCAGTCAGTTAATTTCTGTGCAGTACGGAAATCAAATAGCAGAACTGGAAACTTGCTAAAGATGTGAAATCCATCACTGTGATCATGAAGTCTGCGCTAATGTTTATCAAAGTTAGTTTATTGTTGTTGTGAGGTCATGCAGCACACATGTCTCATCAATCTGCTGTTAAACTGCATTAGAGCTCAGTTGAAAGAATAGTGATTTTTAAATATGAAGATTGACTGATTTTTTATTTATTATATCTAAATAAATATCAAGGATAAAACAAGTTGTTGGGAGAAATCACCTTGGGGTCTGAGAAACTGAATTGTTCACTATTTTCTGACATTTTATAGGCTGAACATCAGAAAAAAATCTATACATTTATGAACGTATTTGGTATTTGCACCCCTAAACTGTTAACACACACAAATATGTAACATTTACAACAGTAATGTAGGCTCAATGGTGATAGATTACACAACTCTAGCAAGTTTCAAGATCCCACTAAAATATTTTCATAGTGTACGGAAATGAATGGTAATCATTGTTTGCCTGAAATGGAGGGGGGAAAAAACTAAAATTGTACAGCTTGCATTTAAAGATTGTTAGCAGAAATATCAAGTACACATGACTTGCAGTTCAGGAGCTAAAATGAGCTTGTTTTTACAGTCAAACTTTTAACAGGTTGACATTTTAGCGATACCTTGTTTGTAATATCCGTGTACATAATTTCTAACTAAGTATTTCCCCTAACAGTTTCCTACCATTCCCTCACCTGTCTGGTGGCCCAGTCTCTCACCATGAACACCAGTAGGAACTGCACCACGGCAGCAAATGGTGGGGGTCTGGCTGCCCTGGAATCAGTCTCCATCGTGACCATCACACTCCTCGCCTGCCTGGGGAACTTCCTGATTGTGGTAACCCTGTATCGCAGGCCTTACCTGCTCACACCCAGCAACAAGTTTGTGTTCAGCCTGACCCTCTCCAACCTGCTGCTGTCCATGCTGGTGCTGCCGTTTGTGGCCGTGAGCTCGGCAAAGAGAGAGTGGGTGTTTGGGGTGGTGTGGTGTAACTTCACTGCCTTGCTCTACCTGCTGATCAGCTCTGCCAGCATGCTCACCCTCGGCGCTATTGCCATTGACAGGTTAGTGCTGGATAATGATTGCATACAAAGGCACTTGAATAAGCCCTGTGTAATCATATCTTGAAAAAATATAAGAAGTGGATGTTGTTACTTTAAACCTGCATTGGTTGATTTCTGTTTGGTCACTAGGAGGCAGTGCAACAATCATAAACACAACATTAACAAATATGACATAACTGTTGAAGAGTTGCCTATTTACACATGTAGTGGATACAGAGCAGCGTTAGCATTCATTTTGAGTTGTGTTTCTGACCAAATATCAATATTCGCTCTCTGTTAGCTCTGTTGTTTTGTATCCACCAACTCCTGATGGAAATATTTGGTACTTTATCTGATAAATGCTCCACCATGCTGACCATCTCGTTGCTAACTTTGTCTGTCTGCTGTTTGGTGCTGAGCAGGTAGTTTACGATTGATTTTTGAGGAGGTTTATCATTGAAAAAATAATGTTGCGGCCCATAAAGCCAAAGCAAGGAGCTGAAAGACGCTCTGTTAAGCTGAGGGAAAGAGTGAGGGACACCTCACATTAGTAAAGTCATTTGATCCATTAATAATGTAGAAGTCTGATTGATGCAGTTTTAAATTCAAACTTAAAACATAATTGACTGTTTTTAATGCAGTGGCCTAACTGTTACAAATGTCGGCTTGTTACCAGAATTTGTTCACGGGTCCTTGATCAAGGCAACCTGTGCTGCTGCTCACTGGCCAGTGGTATAGGATTGTGGTTGCAGCACCCACATGTTAAACAGTGTGAGTGTTGGTGGGGCATTGCTGAGAAGAAATGTTTGACTTGACTTGAAATTGATCACATTCGTTCCATTGTAATTGAATGACCCAGTCATGACCCAGATAAAGTGCAGTTTTGAGAGTGAGATACACAAGTGTTTTCACATATGTTGTTCACAGTATCACATCAACCTGCCAGGGACTTCAGATGAAAATTATCTGTATGGCTAAATCTGTCTCATTTACATTTGGGCATTGTCCTTATGTTTATTAATGTGCACTGTCCCCTTTTAAATAAAGACACAGTATTTGCTGTCAATGAAGCAGTTTGAATATTTCTGTCTGCAAAAAATACATATATCCATAGAAAATATGACTTCAGAATACCTCCCTGACTGTTTTTAGGGACATCTGTATCTGTATAGTTGCATAGAGTGATAACAGTTAACATCTTTTCTGGCTGATGCAACAAAACATTTAATAAAAGCCAATAAATAGGTGTTTTTCATATTCTGGGGGCAATTCTGTGCAATTATACCTTCTTTAGTTTCTCAGAAGAAGCACAACTATCTTTATTTTTTAGAAAATGTGAGCTGTGTCTTTACTTCCAACATATGACAAAGTGAAAGTGAGATGTGACATTGTTTGTGCTGTTTCTGTCTTTGGAAGACTCGTATTAATGCTCACAAACTTAGTAGTTTTTGGTGTGTTTCCCTTTTTAAGGTCAGTATGTAGCCTTGTAAATAATATTGGTTAACCACACACTTCAGTCGTGGTATTTTTTCTGGAGAATTTCCCAGCTCAAGTGACAAGCATTAGACAGGCTTACACAAAGTGACTTTAAACTTGGACTGATATGAATGCACCATTCATCTGCAGGGCTGAGATTATTTCCATTGATTCCTATTTTTAGAAATAAGAAACTGATTAAAAAAAAAAGCTCCACAGATTTGGCTAATCCAGCATACTGAGCTCCACTTTCACCACTTCACACAGACTTTTGTTTTTGCTTATTCTTTGACTATATTACTGTTATGTTATTGAGGCAAAGTTTTTTTATGGTTGTTTTAAGACAAAATTAGACAGTGATGCATTTGGAAAGATGGGCTCACTTTGTCAAATTGATAAAAAGGGAAAATGTTTATATTCCTCAAAAACACGGTCTTTTGGCATCAATACTGCAACTTCATTTGGGCATTTTCAGCCCTATTAAGAAGTAGTGTGCAATAACAGAACAGGGTTTTTAAAGACCAGCTCTAACAAAAAGATATTGCCAACAATCATGTCTTTGGGTTTTGGATTTGCCAAAGTCCCCTGGTGCTCTGGAAAACTTTAAACGGCCTTTTTTGCTTTAAATATTATAGAGTAAAAGATAAATCGATTAATTAAAATAATCAACAAATGGATCGATAATGAACATAATTGTTAGTTTCAACCTTAAAGTTAAGTAAAGTTCATTGTTTTTCTTTTTGTAGATGCACGTTAGGTTGGCTGGAACTGATATTGAATATCACTCTGTTATTACATTGTGTATTCATTCCTGTTGTCAGGCATCACAAAGGAGTGTAAAATCTAGTTACAAAGATCTGCTGTAAATTGGCTCTGTAGCATACAGTCCTCACTGTTGTCCTAATTACCCTCAGCACCTTTGGGGATTTTTGATTACAGTGCATGTTTTTGTTCTCGCACCGAGCCTCCCCTTTTCTATTCTGTTTGCAGCTTTTCAGAAATCACTTTACAGCGTGGTTGGGAAAGTGCATCCTTTAGTATCTGAGTCACTCACTAAAATCTGAGCAGCCTCGGTTTTACTTGGCTCCCATGAGAACAGTGTTAAGTTTCCTTTCTGCAGGGTTTCCTCACTGTGTTCCTCTCTCTTCCCGACAGGTACTACGCAGTGCTTTACCCGATGATCTACCCCATGAAGATCACAGGAAACCGGGCAGTTGTCGTCATCACCTATGTGTGGTTACACTCTCTGGTGGGCTGTGTGCCTCCTCTGTTCGGCTGGTCCTCCTTCGAGTTCGACTGCTTCAAGTGGACCTGTGTCGCGTCTTGGCACAGAGAGCCGAGCTACACTGCCTTCTGGGTCACCTGGTGCACCCTTCCCCCCTTTTTCATCATGTTTGCCTGTTATGGTGTCATTTTCCGAGTAGCCCGCATGAAAGCCCGGAAAGTACACTGTGGGACAATTGTTGTGGCCCAGGACGACTCCACTGGAGCTCAGAGGAATGGACGGAAAAACTCAAGCACCTCAACTTCCTCTAATGGAAGCCGGCGGAGCCTTGTGTATGCAGGTAGTCAGTGCAAGGCCTTTGTCACCATCTTAGTGGTGATCGGCACCTTTCTCGTGACCTGGGGGCCGTATGTCGGGGTGGTGTGTACCGAGGCTTTGTGGGGAAAAGGGAGTGTGTCTCATGGACTGGAGACTTTGGTAGCTTGGCTGTCTTTCTGCAGTGCGGTGTGCCACCCACTCATCTATGGTCTGTGGAATAAAACGGTGAGGAAGGAGCTGCTGGGGATGTGTTTTGGAGATCGCTACTACAGAGAGTCATTCGCCACTCGGCAAAGGACATCCCGCCTCTTCAGCATCTCCAACAGAATCACAGGTGGGACGGCAGCGGACTCTGTTTATCATGCAAATCAAAGAAACATTGATCTTTCTGTGTATGGATTTCTGATTTTTTACTGTTAAGATACCAAATCAGAGACCACAAATCTGAATCTCTTTAATGGCCTTTATTGCACATACAACATAGGTATACACAGTTCCAAGAACAATGTTCAGGAAGATATATGCATAGACATACAGGTTCAACAGGTTGAACAGTTTCTGTAAACAGGGATACAGTAATGCAATGATGGGTACTAGTGTAAATAGTGCTGGAATAGATATTGACTGGGTAGTGTAATAAGTTACTTACAGACAGTGGGTGGTTCAGTGTACAGCCTGTTTAGATTTGCATTCCTGTGCTGATGTGCTTTTCATGTTGTATGACCAGAACTTGCTTGTGTTCTTTCAGACTTAGGTATGTCCCCACACCTGACAGCCATGCTGGCCGGCGGAGGTCATCTGCTGGCTCCAGGAAGCAGCACAGGAGATACTGGCTTCAGTTTCACTCAGGACTCATGTAAGTGTTGCACACAGAACGCAGACAGAACAGGGGGAAATGCTTCCTTGGTGTGTCCCAAATCCATCCTAGATACTAATTCTACACAGTTTACACTTATCATCATAGTATACTGTTATAGCAGTGAGTATGCAACAATAATCTACATTTTTATACTAACAGGAAAATAAACAGTAAGTGCAACGTAGAACGTCAATCAGACTGCAACATTGTAAATGTAATTGTCAATGACTTTCCGAAGACAGCAAGATGTCTTTCTCAAGCTTTAACACTTGATTTTTGTTTGAGCTGATCGAGGTGTTTCACACCCATAACCACCCACAAGTAGTTAGATTATTTTTCAACTGTGAGCAGCTCTTCTGTTTCTTTTGTGCATTGCATTGTGGGAGAGTAGTTTCCATTAACAACAAAAAAATCAAGCATTTTTAGTCTGCATACTGACTGTTTAAATATACTTTATTTAGTCATTTTTCCAGTGTGAACACACTACATACACACTTCAAAACCTGCTAAGAATAAGTATGTATTATCTACACATCTACATCTACATGTTATGTCAGGAAAACATCTGGTTCCACTAAAGTACTTCTGTTTGATACCCCGTGTGAAACTACTAACATATACTCCATTCAATATCTGATATCAGGGCTCGACAGTAAACTGAAGGTATAAGAATTAGCGACATTGTGAATCTCCTAACAACCTAAATTTACACGTATTGGAATTCCCAATGTAAAAAAATTGTTTGAATCCAATAAAATAGCATCAGTAATCAGTGACCGTACAACCAGCGATGTGTCTTACAATCTGCAAGCTTTAACTAGTCATAGTGTCATACCTGTAATAAGTTATTCGCTTGCTAACACATCATAGACCAATAGACACAAAGGTGTTCTGTGCTTCCTGCTAAGAAATTGTTTCTAACAGAACAGAAAAACAGGACTGATTACTCTACTGATTGTTTAATCAATAAAAAGAAAATTGACCATAATCAAATGACTTGTCCAACTAACAGTGAAAATACTGTTGTTGAGAAGCTGGAACAAGATAATATTTGATTTGCTTTAAAAATAGAAATGACACTCAATTACTAATCAAAATTGGCCCACATTTATTTCCCAGTAATTGACTAATGGTTTCAGCTGTAGTTGAGTTTGCTTAAAAGTCTTTACCATAAAATCTGTAAATCTACCACTACTAGCAATCATTTACTTTTTTATGATTAAACATTTACTCTATAAAATGGTGAAAAAGGGTCATCACAGATTACACAGAGCCCGAGGTGACATCTTCATATATGACTTGTTTTGTTTGACCAACAGTCGAAAACCCAAATGTATTAAATTCTTCATAACATGCATGTTATCACATTTGAGAAGCTGGAACCAGGTCCATTTTGACACCAGGTACCAAGTTGCGTCTTTGCTGACATACGTTCATGCTATTAAACTTTGGCCTTCCTACTTTTGAAAACGTGACTGTTGATCTTAACTTGAACATAAAATGGAGATAAAGTGATTCATGGGCTTCAAAAGGCTATCAGATGGTCTTACTAACTCTATTGCTTCATACTGCCACAGCCTTGTTACAGTCAGCCTCACATTCCTGTTTCACAGCTCATGTTTTCAGGTCAGGATGGCATGGGCAGGGCAAGTAATGTCATGTGTAATACAAATAAATGTCTTGATCATTAAACTCATTAAGATGGTTTCTGTACACTGTAATGTTTCCCACACAGGCACGGACGTGATGCTGCTGGATAACTTCTCCACAGATGGCTCCTCCCACCCACAGCATCATGGGAATCCGTCCGGGAAGAGGAGGAGCTCGGTCACCTTTGAAGATCAGGTGGAGCATGCCAAAGGTATCTGTCATTCCCCCTGCTCCACAAAAGATTAGAGGGGAGGGTGTTCAGTTTGAAAAATGACTTTGTGGTCAGTAAGCTACAAACATTTGTCTAATAGACGTCACAAGTAATGCAGTATCTGTGTTTCTCTCCTCAGGTGAACACACGAACACATCCTCGGTTCAAGTCCACGCAGAGGTACACAAATCTCTCGACACCTTTGCCTCCTGCCTGGCCAAAGCTATAGAGAGTGACGCTAAGCTCACCCTGTTTGGGGAGGATCTGGGTCTGCCGGGGGGACTGTTTATGACCAGGGCAACGCCAAGACCCAGATACCTGGACGGTCAGAGACTGAGGCTGGAAAGTATCGATGAAGGGATCGTCAAAGATGACCGAGAGGACGAAGAGCAGGATGTGGAGGAAAAACCAGCCTGAGCACAGCTGGGCTGCTCGTTTGTTGGACATGCTTATAGGCCGAACTCAGTTTATTAGTGGACTGCAAGGGTTTCACACCCTTTCAGAGTGGTGCTCCTCACGGTCTGTGGTGCAGTTTGAGGTCTGATCTGTACACATGGGCACTCCATACTACAGGAAAACAGGAAAAGGCACATTATTCATTCCACTATGTTGGACCAAGTGTCAGTGTCTTTGCAAGCTTTTGTATGAATTTTTGTAATCAAGTAGGAACCTTAACTACTGTAACCTAAATGATCTGATTGTAGTAGGAATTTGTTTATTGCTATATATTATTGCATGTCCTCTGGGCAGTAAAAAAAGAAATGCCGTCGTTTCTATCTTCCAAAAGACTCGTAACACTGTTGTCAATCACTTTAAAATTCCTTCATTACATTAAGAACGTACGTTTCAAACTCAAATTCTCCCTTGTTCAGGACAGAGACAAAGAGCCAGTTTGTGCTTGTTCTGCACACCGATGGTCCACATACACAGGTGTTTCCTCTTATGCCTGATTAGATAGACCTCTTTGTGGACTGTGTGTACAAACTGAACTTTATTGACACTGTTAGCTTTGTTGCAACCGTTTGGGACAACTTGTACTTTTTATCAGTCTTATTGATACATGGTGACCTCACATTATTTCCCAACATAGCCCCACCCACCTTCAGCCTGATGTTGCATTCCCATCATATGGGATGGATGAGAAAGATTCCCATGTTTTATTTTTTATTGACAATATAACACCATATCCGTTACATTGTTTTAATTTCCTTGAATGACAGACTTCGGCTTATGTGAGGTGCCCGTATTTGTGTTTCAGATACTGTAGTATTAAGTGCAAAGTCAGAAAAATCTCTGTCATAATTATGACTGGGATGTTGATGTGAACAAGTTGGACCCTGTTAAATATGACGACTTTAAAATGACATGAAGGAGAGGTCTGATCAGCCAGAATTAGTGAAAACACCTGTGCAGGTGCGCAAAAGACATTTTAAAAGGAGCAGATAACAGAGTTGCGAGTCCTTGGGGTGACAGAATTCAGTTTGGACTTTGGCATGTGGAAAAGATTTGTTGTTTTCACAGAGATTGTTTAAAGGAGTTACAGTAAGCAGAAGTCCTCCTTTTGAAACTGACTGTAAATCGGTTTTACATTTACATATATTCACAATCTTTCTGAAAAATGTAGACGGAGGAAGAACACCTTTTTCACAGGAGACATTTTGACATGTCACCGTAGGAAAAATCACAGATATAAATAGTAAAATGAATGATGGTTGAATTCCATTTAGCTGCTTCAGTTTCAAGGTCCTGGTTTTGTGCATGCCAGCTCACTGTCCTGGCACACTGGGACACTTGAGGTTAATAGTAGCACCTGCACTTCTCCTACTATGACAAGTCAAGATGTGTGCTGTGAAAATGATTTATTTATTTTACTCAATTTCTTACAGGTAACAATGTATCTGTGTTTATTAGCTCTGCAGTACACTGATGCCATGTCCAAGGGTTATTTTTGAATGATACCCCAGTGCACGCTGGGATAACATCTCAACCATGACCCTCAATAGGAATTAATTGATCTAGGAAATCAATTTCAAAATTGTACATCATAATTTATGATAAAGTCTCAAAATGATTTTAGTATATTACAGGATGTGTATGAGAGCGTCATCGTCTGTTGGCCAACATTTGTACTATTGATAATGTGATGTGTTCCTTATTGTGTATGAGAAACAAGGACAGTCCTGATATTTCATGATTACCTGCAAAAGTAGTTGCACTTGAACACCTGTTCTCATAGAAACGACTTTCATTGTCAGATTATTACTGTTTGGTATAATGACCAAAGTAAAGCAGTAGATTAGCAGTGAGGTACTGAGTATCAATCAAATGAAGAAGTTCAAATTAGGTCATTTGGAGACTGTCTTATCAGTATTTCAAGATTGCTATATTAATTAAAATTCATCAACAAGTGTCCGCATGTCATAATATTGCATATTAGTGCAACACGATCAAGTCAGAAATAAATGACTGTATGTTGCTATATTGATCATTGGAAGTTAACTTAGGTGTCGAATTAGAGGACAATTTCTGTCTTAAGGAAAAACTTTACCTACAACACTGTGTCTTAGAAAAATATTCATTGGTACATGTGGTTTACCTCAGTTTATACACTCCACCGCTCCCTTTAAGGAACTCAGAGGACTTGTAAAAAGTAGAGCACAATTCTGTTGCTTCAGTCTTACCTCGTACCTTCATATTGTGATTGAATGGTACTACAGCTGAAAAGTGATGTAATCTTTGGATTTAAAGTAAATATTAATACAAATATTTGCATCTAAGTTTTGTATCGATTCTCCTATTAAAACCTTTTTATTTCATAAACCATTTTTCTATTCATTATGTTTGTGTTGCTGTGATTCTGTGAGTGGAGGAGGTTAAGCTCCGCCATGTTGGTGTCTTTACAACAGCTACCAAAACAACGGCCACCTCTCCTGCAGATACCAAGAAGGCCGTTAACAGTTACACATCAAAGTCTGTTTACAGGAGTACTACAAGGATGACGATTGTTTGGAAAAATGTATGCTTAGCTCTGTGACATGGATGTAATTGTTATATACACTCACCTAAAGGATTATTAGGAACACCTGTTCAATTTCTCATTAATGCAATTATCTAATCAACCAATCACATGGCAGTTGCTTCAATGCATTTAGGGGTGTGGTCCTGGTCAAGACAATCTCCTGAACTCCAAACTGAATGTCAGAATGGGAAAGAAAGGTGATTTAAGCAATTTTGAGCGTGGCATGGTTGTTGGTGCCAGACGGGCCGGTCTGAGTATTTCACAATCTGCTCAGTTACTGGGATTTTCATGCACAACCATTTCTAGGGTTTACAAAGAATGGTGTGAAAAGGGAAAAACATCCAGTATGCGGCAGTCCTGTGGGCGAAAATGCCTTGTTGATGCTAGAGGTCAGAGGAGAATGGGCCGACTGATTCAAGCTGTTAGAAGAGCAACTTTGACTGAAATAACCACTCGTTACAACCGAGGTATGCAGCAAAGCATTTGTGAAGCCACAACACGCACAACCTTGAGGCGGATGGGCTACAACAGCAGAAGACCCCACCGGGTACCACTCATCTCCACTACAAATAGGAAAAAGAGGCTACAATTTACAAGAGCTCACCAAAATTGGACAGTTGAAGACTGGAAAAATGTTGCCGGTCTGATGAGTCTCGATTTCTGTTGAGACATTCAGATGGTAGAGTCAGAATTTGGCGTAAACAGAATGAGAACATGGATCCATCATGCCTTGTTACCACTTTGCAGGCTGGTGGTGGTGGTGTAATGGTGTGGGGGATGTTTTCTTGGTACACTTTAGGCCCCTTAGTGCCAATTGGGCATCGTTTAAATGCCACGGCCTACCTGAGCATTGTTTCTGACCATGTCCATCCCTTTATGGCCACCATGTACCCATCCTCTGATGGCTACTTCCAGCAGGATAATGCACCATGTCACAAAGCTCGAATCATTTCAAATTGGTTTCTTGAACATGACAATGAGTTTACTGTACTAAAATGGCCCCCACAGTCACCAGATCTCAACCCAATAGAGCATCTTTGGGATGTGGTGGAACGGGAGCTTCGTGCCCTGGATGTGCATCCCACAAATCTCCATCAACTGCAAGATGCTATCCTATCAATATGGGCCAACATTTCTAAAGAATGCTTTCAGCACCTTATTGAATCAATGCCACGTAGAATTAAGGCAGTTCTGAAGGTGAAAGGGGGTCAAACACAGTATTAGTATGGTGTTCCTAATAATCCTTTAGGTGAGTGTATATGAGAATCAAATTAATTGAATCAAAATGAAGGCAGATGAGACAAATTTTCAGTGTACAAATACATTAGCTGAATGTCTGTAATAGTGTTGACTTTATCAGATCGTCCATTGTGAAGATTTTAAAGGGTTTTAAGTTCAACATTTTTAAAATGCCAGTCTTAACAGTAGTCAAATGTAAGTGATGGGTAAGCCAAATCTACAGTCCTCGCTCTGTATGATTGAAGAGGTGGTATTATGCTTTTTGGCTTTTTCTCCTCCCCTTTAATGAGTTATATACCTTTTTTCTGCATGTAATAGGTTTGCAAAGTGAAAAAGCCCAAAGTGTAGCCCAAAGGGAGTTCCCTTCTCCCACAGAAAACACTGCCCTGAAAACAGCTCGTTTGTAGTCCAGCTGTTTCTTCCGCTTTGTTGTGACATGTCATAATGCTCGCCTAGTGACTAGTCAGGCACGCCCTCTAAAACACCGTGGAAAAACACTGAGCTGCAGCACACAGTGATAAGACGTCTACCTCTCAGTCCTTGTTCAGAATAAGGACTATGGATTTTGTCCATGGTCATTTACATTGGAGGCGCTTTAGGATCTTTTAATTTCCAGAATGAACAGAAGGAGTAATTATAGCAAGCAAAACCTATTTAAATGCTCATATGAGCACCTGACTATTGTTTAAAGACTGTGAACTTATCTTTTAACTTTTAGAAATTACTAAAATGATCTGAGCTTTACAAATCTGCAGTTCTCAGATACAGTGATCTCTACTGGAGTTTAAGTGATTTCTACAGGAGACTGAATCTGGGTTTAGGCTAAATTAAATGGGGTTTAAGAGACCATGTGATTTTGTTTCCGACAAAACAGGTTTAAACCTTAAAATGAAGCTAATGACAGAGCAACAGCGATTGTGAACCAGTCATGTCGACCTTCTGCATCACAGACTACATGCTGTCTGTTTTCTGCAGTATAATGGATGGTCTCTGCTGTCTGGAGTTAACGTAACTCTGTGTGTGAAGTACAGAATGTTTTATTATTTTACGGAGTGATTTTAAATTAATTTGTTTACTTGTTGCACAGTTGTCTTAAGATTTTATCTTTCAGATGCCATAGTTTTATTTTT